CGGAAAGAGAACCCCCTTCCCTTTGATCCCTTCCCCGCCGCGGGGGGGCCGTCCTGCTGGGGGTCCCGGGGGGGTCGCCACCCAGATGCGCATCCCCCCCCGGCGGGACCGGGGCCCAGGAAAGCGCCAACGTCGCAGCTTGGAGGCAAAGCGAAATTGAGCAACGTCGTGGCTGAGTCGAAGAGAAGCCTTTTCCCTTTGATCCGTTCCCCGCCGCGGGGGAGGGAGCCCGGTGGGGGTCCCGGGGGCGTCGCAAGTCGGCGACAGATCGAGGGAGGGGGTCCAGGGGGGGTCGCCAGATACGCATACGCGTATCGGGCGGTCCCCGGGCCCTGAAAAGCGTCAGTCGGAGGCAAAGCGAAATTGAGCAACGTGCTAGCTGCCAGCTGAGTCGACGAGAAGCCCCTTCCCTTTGATCCCTTCCCCGCCGCGGGGGGGCGTCCTGCTGGGGGTCCCGGGGGGGTCGCCACCCAGATGCGCAGCCCCCCCCCCGGCGGGACCAGGGCCCAGAAAAGCGCCAACGTCGTACCTCAGTCGAAGGCAAAGCGAAATTGAGCAACGTCGTGGCTGAGTCGAAGAGAAGCCCTGTCCCTTTGATCCCTTGCCCGCCGCGGGGTGCGGGAACCCAATACGCATATGCGTATCGGGCGGTCCCCGGGCCCTGAAAAGCGCGAGCCGGAGGCAAAGCGAAATTGAGCAACGTGCTAGCTGAGTCGACGAGAGGCCCCTTCCCTTTGATCCCTTCCCCGTCGCGGGAGGGCGTCCTGGTGGGGGTCCCGGGGGGTGAGGGTAGGCGCGAAATCCTGGTCGACTGTGGTTCTCTAGGAATGAAAACCCAGGTTCAGCATCTGCAGATGATACCCTATGGATTATTGTCCTGTGAATGGATCGTGCTCAGCCCCCTCCCCTGGCCGAATCATTATCTTTCCTGCATAATCAACCTAAGTTGAATATTCTAATACTATGAACCAAGGTGTATTTCAGGCCAGAGCGTACCCCTAAACGGAGCCCCCCAGCCTCAATCACGACCATTCCAGAACAGTTAACCTGGGGTCAATCATCCGGGAACATGATGAATCCGGGTTTATTATCTCCTGGCGATGATGAACCAAGGTCAATATTCCGACATGAAAAACCTGGTGAGGAACCCAGCGGGTGGGGGGAACATGAAAATTAATATCATTTCGGAATGACGAAAACCGAGTTCATTATCTCCGGGACATTGTAAACCCCAGTCAATATTCCCAGAACATTATGAAACCATATTACTATGTTTTGGAATATATATATATATATATATACACACGTGTATATATACATATATATATATATATATATATATATCCGCAGAACAGAATAAACCAAAATTTATAATGTTCTGGGGGGAACATTATGAACCCCGGTCAATGTTCCCAGAAAATTGAAATCCAGGTTCATAATGTTCCGGGCGAGACATTATGAACCCTGGTCAATCATCCCAGAACGTTCTAAACCCAGGTTGATATCTATTTGGGGTCCATCCTAGGGGGGTCGCCACCCATCGATGCGCATCCTCCCCCGGCGCGACTGGGGCCCAGAAAAGCGCCAATGTCGTAGCTTAGTCGGAGGCAAAGCGAAATTGAGCAACGTCCTGGCTGAGTCGAAGAGAAGCCCCTTCCCTTTGATGCCTTCCCCGCCGCGGAGGAATGGGGGGGGCACGGGGAGAGTCGCCACGCACGGAGGGTCGCCACCCAGATGATACGCATCCCTCTGGGCGGTCCCTGGCGTCCATAATGCTGGCGGAATCGCCGTCGCGTCCTTGATGCCGGGCGCCCGCGGCCCACCGGAGGCGTGGAGGAGGCAGCACCCGCCCACCATCCCCCACTTCCCCCTGGCTCTGAAGCATAGGCAGCAAAGGAGTGGGATACACCAGGGGGGGGGCCTGTCCCGAGCTCCTCCTTCTCCTCCCCCTCTTCCCCCTCCTCCTCCCCCTCCTCCTCCCACTTCCCTTCCGGAGCCAAGTCGTACGTACTCGAGGCGCCGGTGCCGGGTGTGGGATGGTTGCGCTTCGCCTTCGGCGCGTGTCCCAAGTGGGCCTCTTGACGAACAAAGCAGGGTATGAACAAAAAGCAGCCCCCCTCCGGAGCCCTCGGGAAAGCGGGGTCCTCAGCGGCGGCGGCGGAAGGGCGGGAGGGACAGGAGGGCATGACGAAAGGCCGCAGCCGCGACAGGTCTCCCCTGGGGGGGAGAACACAAACAAACATCGGCACCGCTGCTCCCCAGACCTCTCCTGGGGCGCGCGCTGTCCAGAGCTTGGAGGAGAAGCCGGCCGTGGCGACGAGGACTCTCTCGGACGATCAGCGGTATAGGTATCTTGTCCTCCTCTGATATCTCTGTTGCCCAGCGGCGCCGCAGAAGAGCCCGTGCTCGACAACGCCGATAGTGGCCTTCAGCTGCGCGGCGGCAGCCAGCGGGTCCTCTGGCCGTAGCAGCCCGATCGCAGCTTCTCCCTCGCCCCCCTCCTCCCCAGGGCTATCGCGGCTCGGATCTTGATCCTTGGCTACTCCGTGGACGGCTGCCTCGAAATCGGTGGCGCGCGAGGAAGGCCACCGCGGGCGCGCGCCGCCGGGCCCAGGAGATGGCGCCACACTCCCGCTGTCCTTAGGAAAGGATTGCTCCCGCTCCTCGTCGACCGGGTCCGAGCCTCCTTCCCTCTCCCATGTCCAGGTGACGGCTGGGGCTTAGGCGGTCCGCTGAGAGAGCGAGTTACGCACGCCAGAGCACGTCCCCCTCAGGAACAACGGCTCGTCATGGGGAACACGCGAGACCTTCGTGATATTCCGATTCTTGAGCGCAAATGCTCGCATTTCGTCCCGAACGTCGGGTCACTCCTCCACTTCTTCCGTCCATCCTTCTCTCACACAAGTGCTCCTCATACAGCACCCTCCTGACTATCCTTCCACCCTCCTGCCTCGTCCTTCTCCTCCTCCTCCTTCTCAACTCCTCTTCCTTACCGTACAGAAGATGAATATCAAACACCAACGTGACGAAGCATTGCATCCAACAGGGAAACGTAAAGAACAGATAATCCAAGGCGCGCTAAGTATATGAGCTCCCCAACCAAAAGACTGCTTACAAAGGAAGACGCTTGTCGATGCATCAGAAAAGGGTGTCACTGGACTGATCGCGAAATGGAAAGCCCATGAACTGTTGATGTGGTCACAATGAGCAGATACAACAAATATCCGCCGGCCCCCGTGTGGGGCCAGAAGGCTATATGGCGAAGGTTCGCAGATTCCTGTACCAATTGCAGCTTCCAGTTTCCGCGGTTACAGTTATGCTTCTTGCTGCTTTGTTCCTTGTTGGTGGATCACGCGAAGGGGGGGAGGCCCAAAACGGGCATTTCGACCACGCCTTGAGCGTGTGCTCTGAATTGCTGGGGTGGGTACAAAATTGACACCCCTCACGCAGATCGGCGGGGTCAGGGTCCAAAAACAGATGGCGTGTAAGCAGCAGTGTAGCATAGGCAGCGTGGTGCGGCATGGATGTGTAGATGCGTTCAGCAAGCAAGGATTAGCGTAGCACGTGCTGCTGCTCTGTCGGCCTGCCCTTCCGTAGCCACAAGGCTCGAGGGCGGGCGGGCGGTCTAGCCTTGAAGCCTGGGTCACTGGCACTGGAAAACACCACTTCACCATTCATCCTCTTGATTCTTGTTGTCACCCGTACTCTTGATTCTCGTTCTTGATGTTTGGGGGTGGGAGTAACTAGTTTGAAGTAAATCTTAAGGGGAAGGGACCCCCGAACGCATGGGATTTGCCACAGTTCTGACATTCGGTGGCACCCCTCACGCAGATCGGCGGGGTCAGGGTCCAAAAACACAAAGGATTTGCAACATTGCTAAAATTCGGCGGCACCCCTCACGCAGATCGGCAGGGTCAGGGTGCAAAAACACATAGGATTTGCCACATTTCTGACAGTCAGTGGCACCCCTCACGCAGATCGGCGGGCTCAGGGTGCAAAAACACAGAGGATTTACAGTATTTCTAAAATTCGCTGGCACCCATCATGCAGATCGGCGGGGTCAGGGTCCAAAAACATATGGGATTTGCTACATTCCTGAAATTCGGCGGCACGCCTCACGCAGATCGGCAGGGTCAGGGTCAAAAAACACAAGGGATTTGCTACATTTCTGACATCCAGTGGCACCCCTCACGCAGATCGGCAGGGTCAGGGTCCAAAACCACAGGGAATTTGCGACATTTCTGAAATTCGGCGGCACCTCTCATGCAGATCCGTAAGGTCAGGGCCCAAAAACATTGGGGATTTGCAACATTTCTGAAATTCGGCGGCACCCCTCACGCAGATCCGTAGGGTCAGGATCGAAAAACAAACAGGTCCCGACACTGCTTCACGGCGGCGCCCAGACCTCATGATTTAGCTTTTGCATCTTCCATTATCCGAGACAGGGGGCCGGCGGCATGGGGCGAAGCCCTTACGGATATTAAATGCAATGCCATGGACATGGATAAACGAAAACAGGAGTTGAGTGAACACGAGTTGAGGATGGAGTGATCATGAGGTAACAAGAGCGACAATGAAGTGTTCATGGAGTGGCAGCGTGGTTAAAATGATTGTGGAGTGGGAAATGCGAAATAATGGAGACCAATAAAAATGCTGACGTCACATCCCCCTGCTCCGCAAAGGAACCGGATGGCAGCGTGAGCCACTCCGGTCTCCACCGCAATTCATTCACTCGAAAGAATTGTTTATCTTGCTCCGTGGACGGTGGTGGCGGCCGTGAAGCCATGAAGCCACTGCCCCCAGCCATGAGGCCAAGGCGCCTGCAAGGGAAGCCATGAAGCCAGTGCCCCCCCCCATGTAGGTGACAAGGAGAAGCGCTAAGAGCAAAAGGCCCACTCACATGCTCCATATAAATGGCAACACACGAACAATATTGGGGGCCAACGGGTCCTTTATGGGTTCAACGAAGTGCAAATCGACAATGTAATTACCGTTGTCCGTTACCTCAGCGGCATACAGCCAACATGGCCCACGAATGCCGAGGGGCAGGGCCGCCGCGCGACGGCGATGAAGCAGCACCCCGAGAAGCAGGGCGTGCGGTATCTTTCTTGCGCTCAGAGCCCCCCCCCGCCCCCTGCACCCCCGATCCAGGCTCGTGCCACGACCCCTCCCACAGGGCCCAGGCTGACTGCCTTTTCGGGCGGCGCCAAGCCGCTGCGACAAGAACCACCATAAACTCCCCCCTAACAAACAAATCCAGGGCGGCGACGTCGACTCGTCCTGAGCGTCACGGCCCACGCGCCGCTGCCGCACGGACAGTCTACACTGGTCAAAGTGGGAGGCAAAGACCAATGACTCTTGTATTCGCACATCTCGGCACGACAGTACGAAGCTATCGGAACAACCAACGCCAACGCGGTTGAGAGTGACGTGTCTGCTCGAACGACCCTGGCTATTGCCAATCCGATCTGCATTTTGGAATACATACGTTTACACTCACATAGATTCGCCGGCCCAACGGGCCAAAGGCGTGCTAAAATTCGCGCGCGCGGGGCCGCCCCTGGGGGTCCCTGGACGAAGAGTACCCAGGCAAGTCCCCAGGCGGTGCGGATCAGAGATGGTTTTCCTCTTGGGCGCGGCTTTCAGGCGCCCCAGAGCGCTCCCAGTGGACCCCAAGAGGCGCCCAAGACGGTCCCAGAAGGCTCCGAGTCGTCGAACGATCCGTCCGAGACACCCAAGATGGCTTACAGACGGCCCACGAGGCCTCCAAGACGCCCCAAGAGGCCTCCAAGAGGCCTCCCAATAGAGCCCCAAAATGCAAACATCATTGATTTTCCGTGGGGGGGTGATGAATCTTGGTGTTCTCGCCTTCTCAGCTCCCCGACGCTCCAAGACGGCCCCCGAGACCGCCCCAAGACAGCCAGAATGGCCCCCGAGATCGACAGTGGGCCCCCGATGGCAACACCGCACGGTCCTGGGCGCGTTTGGCTACCAGGCCACAGTCGGCGATGAACGGCCGATTGGGTGTCAATGCGTTCCTTCCTGAGCCTATTGCTTTCGGGCCGTAACTCGGCCTCTGGCGGCCGTTCGGGACGTTCCAGGCACCCCTGGAACGCCCTCGGCGAGGCGCAGCTGCTGGAGAGCGCTCGGAGGCTTGAAAACCGCAGAGATCCCACGAAAGAGCCCGCCCTTCAGCCGATCCCCTCCTGACGTTGCCCCTGACAACCCCGGGTGCCGAGGCTTCCGCGGCTGGCTCGACCCCGTCCCTCTTATTGCTGGCCGCGGCGACACAAACAACGACTCCTGTTCAGAACGGACAAGAACTGCTGTTGGTCTTCGTCCCCGATCTTTCCGTTCATCTGCGCCGTTGGTTTCTGACACCACGTGGATCGTTCAACATTGAACGATCGCGGTTTTACGATAGTCCAGATAGTTCGATAATGCCCGATTCCAGGCCACTGGCGGCGCTCAACCTTGAACGCCCGCCGGGGTCGCCGCCGCGTCGACACGACGAAAACAAGCCGTTCCCACTCCCAGACCCCTGACGCCATGATTTTCTCCTGACGTGGGCCCCTGACGTGGGCCCCTGACGTGGGCCCCCCAAAAGTCTCGACCCATTTCCCGGGACCGGTCTTTCATCCTGATTCGTCTTTCTCGACGGCCCCGAGGCCCCACAAGGGCACCGAGAATAGCAGAAACCTCCGGTCATGCTTGCGTCATGACGCGAGGAGGCCTGGATTTCGGTCGTACGGATCTGGCCCGAAGGGCAGCTTCGGGACCTGCTGACCCGGGTCAATCCAGACCCGGGTCAGTCAGGCCCTGCAGGATCCTGCAGAATCCTGCAGGATCCTGCCTGATCCTGCACCCAAGCGCGGGTCAGTGCGACCCTGGCCCTGCAAGATCCTACAAGATCTGGCGCTCTGACTGACCCCCGCCTCCTGCGCCCCGACAGCTGCCGAGGCGCCCGCGGCTGGCTCGTCGCCGTCCCGCTTGTTGCTGGCCGCGGAGCCCCTGCGCAGCACGGCCCGGGCGCCAGCCAGTGCGGGCAGCGCCTCTCGGCGGGGCGCAGGGGCGAGCAGGGCGAGGTCTGCGCAGAGGCACCGCTGCTGGCAGGGCCCATCCCTCGGCGGTTCAGAGATTAGGGAGCCCACACAAGACGTACGTGCGGATTTATGTGCAGTCGGACCCAGGACAGGAGAACACCCTTCAAGAACGTGCGACCCTCCGCCGGCCAAAATGAAGAGCATTCGAGGGTACCCACCCCCAGGATGCACACGAACATCCAATAAACACGAAAAACGTTAGGATACCCTCCCCGAAACAACCTCGATCTGATACCTCTATCCGACTGGATATGTAAGTCTTTTTGTCGCTCCTGAAATATGGGGTGCTGAGGGACGGGAGCCCAAGGAGAGGAAGGGGCCCAAAGGGTGGATTTGCACGGCTTCAGGTACCCCGTCCTCAGGGCCCCATCCCTCAGGACTCGAGTAGGGGATCGACTGCAGAATTGATGTACCCCAACGTTTACCTGCTCGTCGAGTCATATGTAGAAGGCTCGTAGATCGGCGTACTTTCTTCGAGTTCTTCATCGATTCGGCGAACAACTTAATTCTGGGGCAAGTCAATTTCGAAGTCGACCTCCTACTCGAAGGACCCCATCCCGAAGGACTCCATCTTGGATCCCCCGAACCCTGCCCCATGCGAGCGCCGCTGCTGGGGCTTTCAGTGGACCCCCCCCTCACGGAGGCCATCATAAAACATGTGAGGGGTGTGCCGAAATGGGCGCGGTGGTACCATGCGAACGCAGCCATTGGAGCCTCCGGTGGAGCTCCCTATTGCGCCACGGAACGTGTGAAGGGTGCGCCGAAAATGGCGCTGTGGCGACATGCGGGCGCAGCCACTGGGATCTTCAGTGGAGTTCCCGATGGGGACACCGAAACAAATGGGTGCGCCGAAACAGAGACATGCGGATGGCAGAAGCACGGATGGTAGCACGGGAGGAAGGAGGAGGAAGGAGTGAGAGGCGGGGCGCTGTACGAAGACCCAACGCCACATAATAATTGGGGAGAAAACGAATTTCAAGACAATCCCTTGCAACACGCAGTCTCATCTCACCACGCATTGCACCCGCGTTGGCCCAGCACGCGCCCAGTGCACGAGTCCATACCAAATAACGCCATGCGGGCTAGACGCGTGGCCCGCCACGCGATCGTGTTGAAGATCTTTCCAAAGCAACGAGTGCTCGAAACTCTGCAACACAGACCTCTTCCAAAACGTATGAAAAAAGCTGGCGCCTGACGCTTCTCAACCAACAATTTGCTGTTTGCCCGGGTTCTTGAATTTCCGTGCGCGCATTTCCTCACCATCACCCTCATCAACGCCGCCGCATCACGCCACCGTCATCGACAATCGCCGCCATGGCCACCATCATCACTTCAGGGCCTACATCATTGACCGCCATCGGTGTTACAAACACCAGCGCCGTCATTGGCCTTGCGGCCGTCACAATCATTATCGGCACGACCATCATTGCCACCGTCGTCATCATGAGGCCACGCCCGCCCGAACCACTGACCCGCAGTGAAGGGCCCGCGCGCAAGCGCGGCCTTTGCGACGCCCCGAAAAATTGCAATCGGTAAGCGCTATCGCGGCCGCATTGGTAGTACCAAACCAGCTAGCCGCTCTGCGCGCGAACTTGCGCACGCCAGCGCGGCCGCCAGCGCGGCCGCAGAGATACGCCAGCCAGGGCAATCACCGCAATCGCCGCCACATGGGCTTCGTTAGACGAAATGCGAGTGGACGGGTGGAGTGATTGCGCGAGCAGTGGAGTTGACAAATCATGAGAGGGCAAACATTAACTAGCACCCATAGGTATCACCTCATATATCCCACCAGCCTTCTGGGCGTAGGTGGTATAACGATATATGCCTTCCCTCTACCAAAAGCCCCCCTTCCACTTCGGGGAGGGGTTTACCCCTCCCCCTGCCCCCTCCCCTGGACCTGGACAGGGAGGGGTCAGAGGTGTCAGAACGCCCAGAGTGGGCCAATATGGCTCCATGAGGGCCGCAGAGAGCCCAAGATGGCCTCCAAGATCGCCCAAGATAACCCAACATGGCTCTACCGAACGCATGCCTCCAAGAGGCCCCCAAAAGGCCACCCGACGGACCCAGGTGTTTTTGGAAACCCCTCAGGACCTCCCGGAGAAGCCAACCACCTTCAAAAACCGAAAGGCAATCCATTATGTTTGCCTTCGCGCCTTTTCGTTTCCGATGCGCTTTTGGGACCTCATGGCGGCCCTGAAATGGCCCACAGGAGGGCGCCCCAAAAGGGCCCCAAGAGAGCCCCAAGAGGCGACTCCGATGACTTCCAAAATTGCCCCAAGAGGCCCTCCAGGGCTTCCAAGAGGCCCCGAAGAGAATCTCAAGAGAGCCCCATGAAGGCCCCAAGAGGGCCCCAAAAGGCGCCCAGGCGGCCCCCAAAGGCCCCCTAGAGGCTCCCAAGAGGCCCCGTGCGAGGCCTCAAGAGGATCCCCGAGGTACCCAACTCTCCCTTCTTCTCCCCCTTTTTCGTCCTCCTCGTCCTCGCCCTGCTCCACCTCCTCCTCCTCCTGTTCCTCCTCCTCGCCCTCCTCCTCCGACGACGGCGATTCCTCTTCCACCCCCTCCCTCTTGGAGTATATGACGGCTTCCCCCGCTTTGTGTTCTTCTGCATGCCCCCCCACTTCCCCGATCACTTCAACTCCCCTGGGCATCGTTTCTGGATGGGCTGATGGATTTGTTTTCGCTCGCGAGCGACGCAGAAGGCTGCGCGCCGTCCAAAAGGTCGAATGCAAGAGTCGAGCCCAGCGCAGTAGACGCCAGCGACGCGCGGGGGAAAAAAAAACAGGCGAAGCACAGCGGCGACGCGGCAGAAGTGGGCGAACTGACAACAGAGAGAAAGGGCGAAGAACACGACTGAGGAAGAAGGCGACAGAATATACACAAGAGAGACAAGGGAGAGAAGACGAACGCGCAGGAGGTCGGGCCCAGAGGACGAAGAACAGGACGTACCTTGCCGAGGAGCAGGAACTTGGGGCGACGTACATCCCAGCAGGCCATTTCGATGGGCCGTAGGATCCATCAATCGGGCCACCTCCAGGGCCGTGTAAGGGAGGTGGTAAGCGTAGAGCACGCCGTCACCCATCAATCAGGCCACCTCCAGGGCCGTGTAAGGAGGACAGTGTCGCCTGATAGCAAGCGTAGAATACGCCGTCATCCATCAATCAGGCCATCTCCAGGGCCGTGCACGGGAGGTTGTGAGCGTGGACCACGCCGTCATTCATCAATCAGGTCATCGCCAGGGCCGCGCAAAGGGGGTTGGGATCGCCCGAGGAGGGTGCAGCTGACAGCCGCAAGAGAGAGAAGGGTCCGCCTGAGCCACTGTGCTGTGCTGGTAGTGGGAACAGTAACCACGCTGGACACTTCGAATCTATCGTCAGCCGCAGGACGGAGGGGGGCCACTCCGCCTGCAGTGTGCCGGTTCTCTGGTCGGGTGCAGCTGACAGCCGCATGAAGATTGGAATTGTTCGGGCAGGGCGCAGCTAACATCCGCGGAAAGATATATAAGGGTCCGCCTGAGACATCCTGCGGCGCTGGCACTGGGCACAGTCACCACGCTGCTTAGTTCGAAACCAAACATTAGCCGCAGGGCGGAGGGGGTCACTCCGCCTGCAGTGTGCGAGTTCTCTGGTAGGGTGCACCTGACAGCCGCGGAAAGATTGGAAATGCTCTGGTAGGGTGCAGCTGACAGCAGCAGAAAGATAGGGTAGGCCCCGCCTGAGCCTCTTGCTGCGCCGGCACTGGGCACAGACGCCACGCTGCTTAGTTCGAGTCCAAACGACAGCCGCAGCACGGAGGGGATCACTCCGCCTGCAGTGCCGGCTCTCTGGTAGGGTGCAGCTGACAGCCGCAGAAAGATTGGAATTGCTCTGGTAGGGTGCAGCTGACAGCCGCAGGATGATTTGGTTATCGCCTGACACACCCTGCTGCGCTGGCACTGGGCAGCCTGAGTCACCGCGCTTCTTAGTTCGAATCCGAGCGTCAGCCGCAGGACGGAGGGGGGACACTCCGCCTGCAGCGTGCTGGCTGGCTCTCTGGTAGGGTGCAGCTGACAGACGGCGAAGCAGGCGGGGGGCGGGGAGGGTGGGGATCGCGCCTCCGTATCACCAGGACGAAGTACGTTGACAACTTCTCTCCAAGGGGTGCGCCTGCCGCCGTAGTCCACGCGCAGGCCCGTGCAGCTGGCAGCCGCAGCAGGATTGGAACTGCTCTGGGCGATCTGCCTGGGAGCGGCAAGCGGGGGGTCGCCGAGTGCCGACCCGAAACGCTGGGAGCCCAGGTGGGGGGAGCCAGAGTGGGGGAAACACTGGAAGCCAAGGTGGGCGAGGATCATATCCGCATTCGCCGGCCGATGCGAGGTGCCTACTTCTTCCCTAGCGGCGCGCCTGCCGCCGTTGCCCACGCGCAGGCCCTCAAACTGTGACGCGAGGCCCACGGAGAACCATTTTACCTGGTTGTAAAACCTTCCACGGAAGCTTGACTGCATCTGTGACCAGGTCTGGAACCTCAATGAAAGAGCGCCCACCCTGTTGCACTGCGTCGTCGATGCGTGCGCAAGGGGTGCGAGGTCGTCCCGCCCCAGAATGGGCTTCTGACGCTCTGCTACCTCCTGGCTGGCCTTCATGATCACAAGTGGGCGCTGCCCGCTCATCTCGCGCCGCGCGGGCGCTTCGGACATGGAAAAAGAAGTTCGCCTGCTGAGCCGCAGCAACTAGAGAAAACGGGGGCAGGCGCAGGAGGGGGCGAGGGGGGGGCAGAGGCAACGCCAGGGGCAGGAGGCGGGCGCGGAGGCCCGTTGAAGGCCAGTAGCGGCGGGGCCTCGCGGGCCGGCACGGTGCAGCTAGTAGCTGCTGGGGCGGGGCAGCAAGAAGCTGCAAAGTGTCGCCGCAACGGCGCCAGCAGCGCAGAGGGCCGCGGGGGGCCTGATCCTTGGACGCCTAAGGCTGGCCAGGGGG